TTGCTCTGTTGTCTTTTAGATCAGTGGTGAAAACCTTGAATCTAACAGGACTTAAGCAACTGAGCTAACTGCACTGTAATGTTTTATTTTTCTTTTATTTGCTTAATTGTGGTGGGAGTGGTGCAGGGAATGATTTTCATAGGGTTCTGTGTTTTTAGTTTATCCCGAGTGTTTGCAGCGAAAAGTAAACCCATGTTTTCTCAGTCTGGCTTTGTATGGGCATTTGAATGTATATGGATATTAACAACATATTTCTGTGCATTTCCAGTAGCTTTAAATAGGGCCAGACTAGTGCAGATTCATGTTCAGTTTGTGTGAATGAGTCCTAATCTCTCTTGCTCTTTGATTCATCGGGGGAGTCTTCTTACTTTCTCTCTTTCTTCTTTAAGGAGCATATGCTGGCTGCGAAGTGTGTGCTTGGCTTTGGTTTCTTTTCATTGTCGGCCATTCACTTGCCCTCTGCTGAGTTGAGCTCCCAGAGCTGCTCCGAAACCCCTTTGCCGAGGTCGCTGGGAATGGCGGGCCGTCACCATCTCTCTTTACCTTACCTGACTTTGGGAGCCTTTCACTCTGCTGGCACTCTCTTCTCCTTTGTCCGCTAACGTTTTCTTTCCTGGCTTCCTCCTCCCCCCGCTACTTCATAACCGCCTTCCCAGTGCTGCTGTTTCAGGACTGCTGGCTCTGGACCTTGCTTTTCTTTTTTCTTACTCTGCACCTTGTCCCTGTGTGATCTCATTTCAAATATTTCTCGCTTTTAAAATTTCCAATATCAGTCTCTCTCCTGAGCTCTGGACTTGCCCATCCAAGTACCTAATTACATAACATATTAAATGTAACATATCCAGATGTAAGCCCAACATCACTCCTTCCAAATTTCTATCCTAATTCATTCTCATTCTCATATTCATTCTCTCTCTCTCTCTCTCTCTCTCTCCCTCTCCCCCTCTCTCCCTCCCTCCCTCCCTCCCTCTCTCTCCCTCGTCTTCCTGAGTTGCTTAAGCCATAAACCCAGGCAGAGGGATGCTGGCTCCCTCTATGTAATATTGTAGCCTCTCACCTTGACTACTTCTATTCATTTTCTGCTTTGATCCTTCTAGCAGTTCTGTGAGGCTCCTGGAACAGGTATTAATTAATACTTGGGTTTTACAGATGGAACCCTTGGAGGAGTTGAGAGGTTTTGTTTCATAATTAAAGAGTTAGGATTGATCAATCCTGGGAAAGATTGTGAATCTTTTGTTTCTTACAGATTACTTACATTAGGAGGAAAAACAAACAAAACCCAAGCGAACTGAAGGAGGACTGCCCAGTATCCCAAGGTAGTGGGAATCTGAAGGGGTCAGCTTTCACTGTGCTTCACTTTTTGAGGCATCAGATGGATTCTTTTCTCCACTGTTCCATGTATTTTCCTTTCACTGCAGCCGGGGAGGGTGTAGGACCCTCACTGTCCTCAATGATGGTTTTTAAAAATGAGATATATTGAGGTATAATTCACCTGCTATGCAATTCACTGAAAGTATGCAATTCAGTGGTTTTCAGGTTATTCACAGAATTGTGCAACTATCACCACTGTCTAGTTCTGGAACACTGTTGTCTCCCCACCCAAAACAAACCCCATATGGTTTGGCAGTCAATTCTCACCCACCTAAGTAACCACTCATGTATTTTCTGTCTTTATAAATTTGCCCATTCTGGATATTTTACATAAATATAATTATATAATATGTAGTTTTCTGTGAGTTTTTTCACAGTATATTTTAAGGTTCATCCATGTTGTAGCATGTGTCAATACTTCATTTCCTTTTATAGCCAAACTAGAGGCCTGGTGCACAAAATTTGTGCAAGAGTTGGCCTTCACAGCCCTGACCTCGGCTGCCTTGCAGCCCCGCGGCCCCACCCACTGGTCGTTCTGCTGTCTGGTCTAATTAGCATATTAGCTCTTTATTATATAGGACTAGAGGTCTGGTGCATGAAATTTCTGCAGTGGCGGGGGAGTTGAGGAGGGGTCCCTCAGCCCGACCTATATTCTCTCCAATCCAGGAGTGCTCAGGGGATGTCCTACTGACAGCTTAGGCCCGCTTCCCATGGTTCTCTGTCTGCGGGCCCACTTGGCTGCTCCTGGGTCGCTGTGGGTTACGGCCAAGCAGGCCCTGCTCTCAGCAGCTGCCCCCTGGGACTGGAGGACTCCAGCGGGGCTGAGAAGACTGGGCGCCACCATCTTGTGGCTATGGGCACTGCCATATTTGTGTTGGAATGATGGTTAACTTGCATATTACTCTTTTATTAGATAGGATGGCTAATGATGTTGAACATCTTTTTGTTTGCTCATTAATCATATATATTTTTTTGAGAAGGTAGATACAAATGCACTGTCCATTTTTAAGTTTGATTGTTTGTCTTTTTATTAAAAGTTGTAAGAATTCCTTAGATATTCTAAATACAAATCCTTTATCAGATACGTGATTTGCAAATATTTTCTCCCATTCTGTGGGTTGTCTTTTACTTTCTTGAGGGTATCGTTTGTAGCACAAACGTTTCTACTTTTGTTGTTGGAGCCACAGGTTTTATTACTGTTGCCTTGATTGTGTGATAATAAGGCAGAGGAGAGCGTCCCTCTCTTCGAAGTGGCTGGATGTTTCTGAGGAGGCAGATGTACAGGTGGCAGCTCACCCTTCTCACCTGTCTCTTCTCCCTTACTCTTCCCCATGCAGAGTTCCCATGTTGTGATGGTCTGTCTTGGCCTTGATCCCTCAGGAGTGACAGAGCTGGCACTTGTTAGCATTCTATCAAGGGATTGCTGCTTCTGTGATGTTCATAGACACTATGGATCTCACTTTTCACCTCACTTCCCTGCTAGGTCTCTTCCACACAGAGCACTGCCCCGGTGGCTGAGTTGGCCTTGTGCTTGAGTGGCAGCCATGGTGTGCAGCCACGAGCTTGTGGCCCTGAACAGAGCCAGGCAGCAGCGCCTTCCTTTCAGAGAGGCCCTTCTCTTCAGTGCTTCTGCTTTATTGCTGCTCTGCAGGCTTATGCCTAGGCCTTCATACCATTGGGAAGGTGGATGCCAGTGCCGCTGGCGTCTGAATGTCATGGATCAGTATGATTTCCAAAAATGTTGGAGGTTAACATAAGGTTATTAAGTTTTAATTTTGTCAAGTAGGGACATTTGAGAGAAAGGACCAGATTCTCCTGTCAGGAGAGTATAAAAAATATCAAATTAAATATATTTACCTTTGTGAAAAGTCAATATATGGTCCTATTTTTCTTATTTTGTTATACGTACTGAAAACCACGTTATGGTCTGTGGATTGATATTTGGGAACCACAGGCTTACATAGTCGGCATAAATCTTTATTTGAAAAGAGGACCATCTCTTAATCAAGTACTTATTCTGTGTCATGCCAGATACCAGTTTTATACAGATTATGTTTTACACTTAATGAACTATTTTGGCTAAGTTAGACAATCTTCTGTACTTTGTCCCTTTCTCTGTTGATCGCACAGATGAGAAAGAATAATTGTTTTAGATATATGTGTGTGTAAATGTGAATTGACCTTTAAAAGATTTTAAAAATCACCATTCAAAAGATAGGATGGCCCTTATTTACAAATACAGTGTATAAATTCTGTATTATGTATATTCTAGATTGGAAGTAGTACATAAATTTTTATTGATTCTGTCTCATCTAAATTAAAATGTCAAATGCATGTTAGGGTTTTATCATAAGACAGTTATTGGCCATCACATTGGCACATTAATTATAATAATTGGGCAGTAAAGAAGCCAGAGGAATAGATAATATGCTGTATGTTTTGATGAGATTGTAGCCATAACCTCTTATTTATGGTAATGGGATCTTATTAATAGACCCTGTTGACAAGCTCTTTTGCTTTCCTTTTCTCCTTTCCAGGTTGGTTTATAAATCTATTTAGGAACTATGAACTGAGAGCCACACAATATACAATAAGTATATTCCAGATTTTCATGGTATACACATTGAATTCATTCAGCACAATTTGCTGATCCCTGCTAAGTATACAGAGATGTATAAAGCAGCACCCACACTGGAAGACTAACAGTGGAGCAGGGAGGTAGAGTGTCTGTGTATAAATGAATGGGACCCGCATTGTTTGGGTCATATGTGGGAGCCACACTTGGTTAAGTTCCTTGGAAGTGGGATACAATGATATACAAGTTGAGAGGAGGAAAGATTCCCAGCCCATCTGTGAGTCTTAGTGGTAGAGGAATCCCTTTGCTTACATGCCACAAAGCTCCGCCCTTCCCTTGAACAGACATCTGCATTCTAGAACTAGAGTGAGAGGTAGGTGGCAGATGCACTGACGTGGAAATCAATGTTTGTTCTAGTCCCAGCTGCCTTGCAACCCCATTTTGTGTCCTTGAGTATATAAAATTGATTTAATAATATGTGTCCAGCATTTCTCACCATGAAAAATGAGATAATGCGGATGAATAAGCTGCTCCCTGTGGTGAAAGTCAGATTGCTTGGCAGGTGTGTATTTTTTTTTCAGGCAACTTACACCATGCATTTGAATGGTAGTAAGCACAGCTTTCCACGTCTGAAAGGATTAGTATCCTTACCAAAGCGCCCAATTTATTGCTAGGGAATAGCACATTCTGTGTGACATCTGAACTGGCTGAAAAAGTACCTGAATTCCTTGGAGAAACTGCTTATAAGAATACAGAGCAGTACTGTTGTAATCACTAAAATATGTTCAAAATGAAACAAATGTTTATGGAGCTGCTACTGCTGGTTTAGGAACTTGACAGTTGGTTTTTAAATTTTTACATTATTTCTTTTTTATAGTAGAGAAAAGAGGCTTAGATATGTTTTCAAGTTTCTTAGATCATACAGCTGTTTGAAATCAAACCTGCTGAAATGTGCTGTTTACATTGTCACTAGTTTGTCGGTTTTCTTGCAGGCCAGTGTAACCCTCTTTGGTATATGTTTTAATGTTATTTACTTGTTTGATTTCTTGGCTAGGTTACTCCTGGAGCTGCTGGAGTTGCTGTTTGACAAGTTTAATGCTGTAGCCACTGCACACTCTGTGGTCCTGGGTTACCTGCAGGACACCGTCGTGGCCCCACTGCCTCAGCAGGCAGATGTCAAACTGTACGACATGGCAGATGTGTGGGTGAAGATCCAGGATGTCCTCCAGGTAAGTCCTTTTACAAAGGATGCCATCTCGTCAGAGTAACAGGTTAAGACCACAACACACAAATCAGCAACCTAAAACCTTCCCTTAGTCATAAGCAGTGAGACAGGAATGTTTCTGTCTGAAGATGATGCTATTGATCTCATGAACTTCTATCTTCAGAGATCTTTTAACAAACTTCGTTTACTAGACTTTAAAATGAGAAGATGCCAGTACCTAGTAATCAAGGATGTGCAGTATTTAGATTTTTGTTGAAAGGTACTTTACTTCACTGGAATTAGTCATATGTCAAAGTAATCAGCATAAAAATGTTCTTAAACACTATTTTATAAACTTATGTATAGCTTAAGTTTATGACGATTTTCCTACAGTTAATTCTTGTATATATTAGGGTAAATGACAGGTCAAGGGCTTATTTTGAGATGAGAATGAATCTATAAGTATAAATGTATCATTTTGATTGATTTGGTTAAGATTGGAGAAATGATATTACTGTTTGGTATGATGCTGCAGAGATGATATTTAGAAATTTTATTATATTTTCTCTCCATGCTTCAGGAAAACAGATTTGATTTGGCCAGCTGAAAATTTGAAATACAATTAAGAGTCAGCTGAAACAAATTTGACATCGTTAAATAGAAATGTCTTGGTTGAGCAGTACCTACTAATATGGACAAAAATTAAGAATATGTAGGGAATTGAAAAATATAACTGTGTAGGAATGAAATTACTTGCATGGTAAATAGTCTTAAAGGACTAAATAAATCATGAAGAGAAATTGTAGTTATTTTTGACACTATATACATGTTCCTGGTGGGTTGAATGATTAATTCTTGGTTATTCATTCATTAGACATTTTTTTGGCTTAAGTCTGTGTGCTTTATTGATGGTGTTGTAGAAAGAATATGGATTGCAACTCTATTCTCTGAGTTCTTTTTGCCACTCTGTCAACTACTATATGCCCATAGTAGGTACTTGGCGAATATTTTTGTATTGAATAAAATATCTTTATTGTTCAGAAGCCGGTTATTTAATATTTCATAAATTAGTTTGCTTGTCTGAGGTTTGCTAATCTGAGGTATAATGCTTATAGTAAGTTGTGTTAAGTTAGGCCCTAGAACAAAACTAAAATTGTAAAATAGATATATAGGTAAAAAGTTAGTAAAGGAAAAAATTGAATAGTGAATAATTATTTGAGTAATCCAAAAGAAAGCAGGAGAGGAAGAATAAAAAATAAAGGAAGCCCTAGCTATTTTGCCTCAGTGGATAGAGCGTTGGCCTGTGGACCGAAGGGTCCTGGGCACGATTCCAGTCAAGGGCATGTACCTCGGTTGCAGGCTCCTCTCCGGCCCGGGCCCTGGTCAGGGCTCATACAGGAGACAACCAATTGATGTGTTTCTCTCACATTGATGTTTCTCTCTGTCTTTCCCTCTCTCTTCAACTCTCCTTAAAAATCAATGGAAAAATATCCTCAGATGAGGATTAAAATAATAAATCAATCAAAGAACAAAGCAAAGGTAGGATGAATAGGAAACAAATAGCAAAGATGTTAGACTTATACCAGTCATATAAATAATTATATTAAATGTAAATGAGCTAACCACTTCAATTAAAAAGCAGAGTTTATCATATGGTTTAAAAACAGTAAGAACAACAATAACAACAAAAAAATAAGACTCAACCATGATATTTATGAAGTGCATTTCATGTCACTTTATTACTTCTTAATTTTTAAATAATTTCAAACTTTTAGAAAGGTTGTAACAATAAGAATAATACAGTAGGCATCCATATACCTTTTTATTCTGATTCAAGTATTGTTAACATTTTGTTACATTATCAATTGTTTTGCGTATGTACATATGTAGTTAGGTATGTACACAAATTTTTTTCTTTGAACAATTTGACTGTAAGTTGTCAGAATGTGTATATTCTAGTTTTGTTAGTTGACCCAATAATGATTTGCTTGGCATTTTTTAACTTGAATTTATTGGGGTGACATCGGTTAATAAAATTATGTAGGTTTCAGATGTACAATTCTATAATACATCATCTGTATATTGTATTGTGTATTTATCATCTTAAGTCAAGTCTCCTTCTTTCACCATTCCCCCCTCTTTACTCTTTATTCTTTTCTGTATCACCTTCTTCCCCTTTGGTACTCACTGTGCTGTTGTCTAAATCTATGTGTTGGTGTTTTGTTTTTTCCTTAATCCTTTTGCCTTTTTCACCCAGCCCTCCAACCTCCCTCTCCTCTGATAGCTGTTAGCCTATTCTCTGTATCTATGAGTTACTTTCTGTTTTGTTTGTTTGTGTATTTTGTTCATTAGATTTAACATATAATTGTAATCATATGGTTCTTGTCTTTCTCTGATTGGCTTATTTCAGTTTTTTTTTCTTCTTCAGTAAACAGTCCAGTCTAAGGTTAGATATTGCATTTACTTTTCATGTCTCTTTAGTTTAAGCTTGAACATTTCATTGCCTTTCTTTACTTTTTGTTACCAGTGGCACTTTGAAGAATATATCTCCATCTTTTATCTTATTTTTTAAATACATTTTATTGATTTTTTACAGAGAGGAAGGAAGAGAGATAGAGAGTTAGAAACATCGATGAGCGCGAAGCATCGATCAGCTGCCTCCTGTACACCCCCTACTGGGGATGTGTCTGTAACCAAGTTACATGCCCTTGACTGGAATCGAACCTGGGACCTTTCAGTCCCCAGCCCGACGCTCTATCCAGTGAGCCAACCCGGCTAGGGCAATATATCTCCATCTTTTAATATAAGTTTCTCATTTTGGGTTCGAGAGATACACTTTTAATAAAAATTCTAGATAGATTAAAAGTATGCAAACAGAAAGAGATATGCTATGAAATACTAATAATAATTTTTATTATGGAAACCATTGTAATATATAATATTAAAAGGAATTACTTGTATCAGTACTTATGGCATTAAAAACCTGAATACGATAGTATGTTATGGACTATGCAATCCTACTCACATAAGGTAACAAAATACTTTATGAGTAAGTTTTTTTGACCTGATATTTGACTAACTAAGATTAGTGTTCTAAATTCAAGACAGTGCTTACATCTTGTAGGATTCTATTTGTAATACCATCACAAAGAATTAATTATGGTTATGAACAAAGTAAGATATGCCTTACTTAGCTTTATTTACTTTGAATTTGCCAAACGTATATAATTCCTACATTTTGGGGGAAAAAACCCTATTATCTCACATTAATGACATTTATAATAAACTGAGGAACTTTAAGTTCTATCAGACATCAATTTGAAATATAAACATGGTTAAAATATGTTTCTGGCTTATTAAATGAGTTATACTTTTCACACAGGGTTTTTAGAGAGTGATTTAGATATCCTGTCTTCATATTATGGAATGGTTTATTTATTTAAACAGCTCTATTGAGATGTAATTTACATGCGATAAGATTTATCCATTAAAGTATAGATTCCAGTGATTTTTAGTATATTTATGGAGTTGTGTAAGCATTACCATGATAGGGTTTTAGAATATTTTCATTACCCTAAAAAGAAACCTTGTATCCATTAGCTGAAATTTTTCTATTCCCCACTCTTTTCCACACCTAAGATGTTATGACATTAAAGAGGAATCAACTGTGAGTTCTGTCTCTTAGTAACTTACAGTGCCCAGGTCACACACTTGCCAGTAGTCTTGCCATTTCAGTTAATGCAGGGGTCCTCAAACTACGGCCTGCGGGCCACATGCAAATACAAATATTGTATTTGTTCCCGTTTTGTCTTTTTACTTCAAAATAAGATACGCGCAATGTGCATAGGAATTTGTTCATAGTTTTTTTAAAACTATACTCTGGCCCTCCAGTGGTCTGAGGGACAGTGAACTGGCCCCCTGTTTAAAAAGTTCGAGGTCCCCTGAGTTAATGCACATGTATACCATTGGCATAAGCTATATGACAGATAAAGAACATAAAACTAAAGCTTAGCTAATAGTACAAGGTGAGCAGTCTAACACAGATATACCATTTCATTTCATGTATTGTGTTTAATTGGTTTGAGGTCAAGGTATGGCAGTGTTCCTTCTCTTCTTTCCTTTTCTTCCCCCTCTTTCCTATCTGCTTTTCTGCTCCCATTTTTTTTCTATACATGTTTTAGAACAGCAATCGCCAACTGGTGGTCTGCAGACCACTGGTGGTCCATGAGGTCCGAAAGGTTGGCGGCCACTGTTTTAGAAGAATGACCTTAGTCATGACTTGAGTTATGCTATAGTTGATTGTTTCTTAACTCTTTTTTTTTACTCATCTTTGTTATTAATGCACAGATTCAAGAATAAAGCCTTCTTTCCTCTTTATTAAGGTATTACATATATGTTCTTATCCCCCAATTGCTCCCCCCCCCCACCCTCCGTGTCTGTGTCTGTTGGTTAGGCCTATATGCATGAATACAAGTCCTTTGGTTGATCTCTCCCCCTTAACCCCAACCTCCCCTAACCTCCCTCTGAGGTTTGACGGCCTGATCGATGTTTCTCTGTCTCTGAATCTGTTTTTGTTCATCAGTTTATGTTCATTATATTCTATAAATGAGTGAGATCATGTGATATTTATCTTTCACTGCTGG